GAGGAGGAAGATGACAGACTGGGCCTGTCAGTTGAAAGGTAGCCAGGTGAGGGCTAGGAGAGGGGCAGGCTAGCCGAGGGCAGGCTGAGGATGGAGCAGCCTCCGCTAAGTAAAACATTTGGAGGCTAAGATTAAACATTTTTGTTTGCACATTTTAACACACCCATTTTGGTTTTAAGCATGTGCTTTGGTGGATAGGAAAAGGTGAACTGGCAGGAGTGTCTAGGAGGAAGTATTTTCTTTTGTTTTCAAGCACATACTAAGGCCAAGTCCTGATACTATTGTCATTGTTGCTGTTGTTGTAATTACATTCATTATTATTATTAGTCTAAGGAAAACCAGACCAACCTTTTACAGTGGAAGTGATGTGTATACCAACATACTTATAGTGAGGGTAAACCAGTTTTTTTAAAAGAACAATGATGATTTTTAGACTATTACACCTCTTATTCATGCCAGTATGGTTGCTTGGAAAACATCCTGTTTGTTGAAATGTAAACATTATATTGACATTTGATCTTTGTATTTATTGGACACTAAGTAAGGCATTTAATTATACCTTTCTACTGGGATGGAATAATGGCTTCACCTAATTTAAACCCAGAAAAAACCTGTGCCCTTTTTGAAACACAGTTTCAGAAGAACTCATTAAATTGCATAGATGAGAAGAGCACTGCTTAAACTTTAAAGCATAAAGCTAATAGCCTAAAAAGAAATATTCAAATTAACCACCGACTAAGGAACCTGTTGAAGGACCACAATAAGTAGAGCAGAACGAAATTAGTGTGGCTTTCAGTTTAGAGTCTTATTCCAAATTAATATTGCTCCAGGCAGCCGAAGTTGAAAAAAACAAACACTGGAAGGTTTATTTGAATAAATATGGTGTTTGTGCTGCAGCCAGACTCCAGAGTCAATTATCACCGGCATCCTGAAAGGTTTTGTTAGAGCTGTCCTACACTTTTTTTTGGCAAGCATAACCACCACATGTATTCACCGCTATTTAAACAACCCTGTACACATGCCAGAATGACAGATGCAATTGCCAGTATGGTCTCTGAGAAGATATCACACCAGATCTTCTTTATTTGGAGCTGCCTTCTGATCCATTTCTGAGCACAATTCAAAGTAAAATTTATTCCTTACAAAGCCCTAAATGGCTTGGGGTGGCCACCTCCAGCATGGGATCACCTGTTCCATTATGAACCTGCTCACATACGGCATTCAACATCTGAGGCCCTGCTTCATGTTCTACCACCTTCAGATGTGTGCCTGGGAGGGACATGAGGGCAGGTCTTCTCAGTGGTGGCATCCGGACAGTGGAACTACATTCCAACAGGTTTGGTTGCTTGGTCTCTTCTCTCTCTGAGTTTTATTTGGGTGGCAAAGTAGGACTCTATTGCCTATTGATATCAGGAAAGCATCTTCACTGTATTATTTTCGGCACCAGCTTAAAACATTTTTGTTTAGGCAAGCCAATCCAGACACACAGAAGTGTGAAAAGTTGGTTTACTGCTGATTTCAATGGTTTTTAAAAGCATATTAAATTATTTGTTTTTAACTGTTTTTATTCGGAATTTTAATATTTAATGTAAACTGCTTAAAGATTTTGTTACAACCAAGCAGCATATAATTTTTGATAAATTAATTTAAAAATACATTTTTTATTTTGCCATGCCATAATTCTGTTCTAACCTCCTGCTATGGAAATGCACTTTTTTAAAAAACTGCCCCAGTGGTTTTATATCCCCCTCCCTCTTGTGCAGCTTTCTGAATGTTTTTATCTCATTGCTTATTTGTTTCGTTTGATTTGTGAATTGCCCAATTTATGAAACATTTCAAAGCAATTAAAGACATCAGCAATCAAAACATATATAAAATGTCACACATAAAACAGTAATTCAAATCCAATACAGATACAGATTAGAATAAAAATATCCACTTAAAAGTGATGTTCTTTAAGGTCTTCAATAGTTGCCAAAGAGACAACAGAGTCAGAGAATATATGATACTGAATGGGGTGAATTCCAAGGGGTAGGAGCCACCACACTAAAAGCCCAATTCCTACACTGTACAGACAGAATCTCCTGACAATATTGCGTCTACATGAATTATTTCTTTTGTGTTTTTGTGTTTTTAATCTGGGAGCTGCCTTGGGGAGCTAACAGGCATAGTAAGAAAATGTTCCAAAACAAACAAACAAACAAATGCCTGACAACCCCAATTGCCCCAGAGTAATGTTTTCCTGCGGGAAACATAAGACTGCAGAGTCAAGTATGAAGCTTCCCTCAGTCAACAACATCCCTTCACAGGAAAGGAGTCTGATGCCTCTCCTAGCAGGAGGATTTCATTACAAGCTTCTTGTTGCTCGATTTTCAATTAAGGTTTATCGCCAAGCATTTGTTTCAACAAAAGAAAGGCTTTGACTGTAAAAACTACAGGGTGTTTTCTAATTAAAGTAGCAGGTTAATTCAATGTTGTTTGGTGATGTCTGACGTTCAGCCAAGTAATATCCCCACCCTGAGTGGCCTGTTCCTTTTCAAAGCTTTACACTGCAGAATTTTGTCTTCTGCAGCTAGAAAAGAAATCTTAAACAGTTGGGAAAGGAGAGAACATACTGATACTGAGGGGACTGGAAATGAAATATGAACTTTGAAATGTATTCTCACTGAGACAATTTCATCAGCTCATAAAACCAGCACTCATGGTCTGAAGTTGTTTAGAGTGAATGGGTAGACAGATTCAAAGCCTGTTTTTTTTTAAAAAGCGGCTAAATAAAACTCTGATGATGAAGGGAGGATGGGACAGTGGTTGATATGGCACACATTGTGGCACGTGTGTCTAAATTTGATCAAGAGATCATGCACCCATAAGGTCTAGAAACTTTTCATGGCTATGTTATCAGCCAGATGAGAGATTGGATACAAGTTTTGCCAAAATAAGCACCAAGGGTCAATTCTTGAAAGTATCTTCCAGAAGTGAGAAAGAATGAAACAGTTACAGTGGTGCCCCGCAAGACGAATGCCTCGCAAGACGAAAAACTCGCAAGACGAAAGAGTTTTCCGTTTTTTGAGTCGTTCCGCAAGACGAATTTCCCTATGGGCTTGCTTCGCAAGACGAAACGTCTTGCGAGTTCTTGCGAGTTTATTTCCTTTTTCTTAAAGCCGCTAAGCCGTTAATAGCCGCTAAGCCGCTAAGCCGTTAATAGCCGCTAAGCCGCTAACAGCCATGCTTCACAAGACGAAAAAACCGCAAGACGAAGAGACTCGCAGAATGGATTAATTTCGTCTTGCGAGGCACCACTGTACACAGGTAGAAAGGGCAGCACTCTGTGAAGTTCCAAAAGAGCAGGCAGGTATTTCAACAGAGCTTGTGCATGAGACTTTACTAGCTGCTTGTCTCTATAGTCTGCCTAAATTTATGTGTTGAACCAACTGAGTACAGTGGTGCCCCGCAAGACGAATGCCTCGCAAGACGAAAAACCCGCAAGACCTCCCATCACGGCAGGGCTGGAGAGAATCTGGAAAACACGATGGCAGCCTTTCGCCAGCAAGTATCACAACTTTATCATCAGTATTTGCTTACACTGAAAACTGGCATATGTGCACCTCTAGTGGTGCAATGGGTCAGTGCATCTGGCTGTTAACCAGAAGATTGGTGGTTCAAGCCCACCCTGCACTAGATGACCCTTGGGTCCACTTCCAACTCTACAATTCTATGATTCTGCCATATAACCTCCCTGCAAACTTTGTGCAAATCAGTCAGAGCAAGAGCTCAATAAACAGATTGGCCCAAGTCTTATCCCACTCCCTGTAAATTTGCCTTCATGGTCTGTACTTGGAGAAAAGGCTTATTCTTACTCTGCACCTGAAGACAAAGGGCAATCTTTTAATGGGTTTCAAGCCTCCTCCACCTCAAACCACACCATTTATTCTGGAGCACAGTTCAATAAGCCAACCTACAAGGCAGCTGCCATAAAGCATCTAGCAACTAATAAAACAAGAGAAAGATGGTCTCGATCATGTGCACCAGTAATTAACAATGAGCTGGAGTTCCCAGCGTCATCAAAACTCTTCCTCTGTGAGTTCAGCTGGGAACAGTTTTGTGCAGACAGATGAAAATACTCTCTGCAAAGGAAATCATGGCAATATTTATATACCTCTCTGCTGCACAAATCATGTTGGAGTTGAAAGGCTGTTTTTATTTTTTTGGCCTGGCTCCCTAAAACTCTCATGCACGCATAATTTTTCCTCGTACCTAAACAATTAGAGTGGTATTATTTGCTAAGACCCAGAAGTGCACAAGCAAGCAGAAAAGAAAGGCAGACCTGAGGGAGCTAAACCTTTGCCTTTCAGTTTTAATTTATTGACATTGTTATTTCAGCCCCTGGTATACATTTTCAAATACCTTTGAAACACGCCTAAAAGCAGCTGAACTCTCTGGACAGATTCTACCAGTGTGGGGTTTATGCACAAGGTAAGTGAGCCACGGATTAGGGCTTCAGATCATGAGAGGCCTCTATATACCATCCCCCCACAAAGACATTGTGTTGTCTCCAGTGCTAGTGCTATTGAGAGTAGACCCAGTGAAGTTAATGGGCATGACTATTAGGCTCATTAATTTCAGTGGGTCTAATCTAATTTACTTCGAATACAACCCCAAATTCCAAGTTTTACATAATCATGAAATAAAACCTTTTAAATTTAATGTCATGTGCAGTACACACATGGTTTTCCTGGGGGAAACAGCAGGGCAAAAAGAGAAAAAGTAAAGTGTTTGGAGATGGACCAGGAAAGTGTGGACCTGTGCCTAAAAAGCGTGGGGCAAAAGTGATGGGCAGATGAGTCCTCAATTTGTGTAAATTCAGTAAACAACTGAGGCATTAGCATTTCTTCAAAGATCCTGCCTAAAAAACCTGGTCTGGACACCTGTGGATGAGCCTACTCATTCCCTCAGAGGCCTATTAAAGACAAGGTGTACAAATTTATCAAAAGGTTTGTTACCTGGAAGAAATGGGATGATTCTCTTCTTGGGATCTTTCTGGCCTCCTTCGATAGGGAATTTATCCAGAAGCTGCATCTGCAAAAGAAATATTTAGTGTGAACAAAAGTCCATCACCCCCTTTACCCACTCCCACCTCAACAACAACATGACCTATTTTCCTGGCTGTAACAGATCTTGAAAGCTGCAGGAGCAGCTGTGATAAAGGGCAGGATTTTTTATTTTTTTACAAATACAGTTCAGTGAACTTGGTTGAAGAGCGGCAAGGTTCCTGAGAGGGCAGGGAGAATTACATCAGAGTTGGGACAGGACCAAAGCCTGGAGTTCCAGCAATTCCCAAATTAACTATTTTGTACTTTCATAATAAATGAACACACAGTTTGACCCTCATCCATGTTCTGGGTAGCAATCCTGCAGGGTCCACCTATCCTCTAAGACAGACCACCCACCTGACGAGAACTGCTGCCTCAGAACCGCCAGAGAGGTTATTTCAATGAAGCATCCAATGTGGTTGTTGGCAGACCTCACCTATCTCCCACACATTGCTGTGCTTCTCCGTGCATCTTGATGGACAGGCATACATAGAGCAGAGGAGTTTCCTGGGGATCTGGAAATACTCTCTTATTGTGATCCCTGGGACTTTGCTGGAACAAAATGAGTTCTTACAAAGTGGAAGGTTGTATCAACCTTTCTGGAAAGACCCTCCCTTCCCTGCTGACCACACATTTTCTGCAAATTTAACTCAGTGTGCGGTCATTGCAAATGGCATCCATTACATTCATAATATATAGAAAATTTGGCAAAGTGATTTAATAATAAGGCAGACAAATATTTAATCTGTAAAAATATTAAATTTGAGATATTTTTAATGCCTGCTTTCAGATTAAACTATCACAGTATAATGGAGACAGAAGTTTGTTTGTTTTTTTAAAAGTTGGGTTGCTGCCAGGTTCTTTGGCAGGAATACTCCCATGTTTGTGTGTGTGCATTCACATATGGGACCATGTTCCTCCAGCACTGTAGGAACAGAGGACAGGTTCCTGAAGGATGTGTAGATATGATGGGACCACCTGATTGGCAGAGATCTTGAAGCTGGAAAGGCTGCATGATACTATGAATAATGAATGATGTGCAACGATGCAGAATCCTATAAATCTGGGTTCTAGGTTTGCCATTTGAAGAGCAAAACAGAGAACACATTTTCTGACTTCGCTATAACAACTTTCATTTTATATACCCATGAAAAAGAGGATGTGTCCTAGAGAAAGAGGACATATGGCAACCCTATTTTTAGCCTTTATTGCATACATAGACCTGGACCATTTTTACTCAACATTCAGAAGCTGGCACACTGAGGTTGGTTGTTGTTGTTGTTTAGTCGTTTAGTCGTGTCCGACTCTTTGTGACTCCATGGACCAGAGCACGCCAGGCACTCCTGTCTTCCACTGCCTCCCACAGTTTGGTCAAACTCATGTTAGTAGCTTCGAGAACACTGTCCAACCATCTTGTCCTCTCTCGTCCCCTTCTCCTTGTGCCCTCCATCTTTCCCAATATCAGGGTCTTTTCCAGGGAGTCTTCTCTTCTCATGAGGTGGCCAAAGTATTGGAGCCTCAGCTTCAGAATCTGTCCTTCCAGTGAGCACTCAGGGCTGATTTCCTTCAGAATGGATAGGTTTGATCTTCTTGCAGTCCATGGGACTCTCAAGAGTCTCCTCCAGCACCATAATTCAAAAGCATCAATTCTTCGGCAATCAGCCTTCTTTATGGTCCAGCTCTCACTTCCATACATCACTACTGGGAAAACCATAGCTTTAACTATACGGACCTTTGTCGGCAAGGAGATGTCTCTGCTTTTAAAGATGCTGTCTAGGTTTGTCATTGCTTTTCTCCCAAGAAGCAGGAGTCTTTTAATTTTGTGACTGCTGTCACCATCTGCAGTGATCAACTCAGCACAACACAAAGGGGGCCGCATACAGTGCTAATACATCCCTTCAAGCACCTTCACTAATGTGGATAGGAATCATTGAGATGGAATTCAACTGAAAGTGCTCACAGTGAACAAATGTGCATAAAGCACACACAGGAAAATCAGATCTTTGCAACCGACATGTACCTTAATACTCTGGTGTGTACGCAGTCTATGTTGAAAATGGCAAATACTACATTTTCAACTCCAGGAACTCCATAGCAAAGGGATATCATTTCAGAACAAGGAAGGATGGAAGGTGTGCCCACCATCAAGCGTGACATAAGCCAGACTCCAAATCAGGCACAATAGCATTACATCGGTTCACATGTAAAAGAATTGCCCTGTGATTACAATGGCTTCTAAAAAAAATCACTACAAACCAGCACTTCAAAACATCAGGATAACACCTAGGGAGGGATGTAAATATAAACGTTTGGGAGAACCATTTCTTCCAACTGGATTCCCAAAACAAATGGGTGGGTGGCTGTCAACACAAAAGTGGGGTTAAAAGGAAGTATGGAAACACCCTAAGCCATCTCCATCAGTTGAGAACCCTATATTTTGCTGCTCCTAATAGATATGTTGGAAGAATACCCACTAAGATTTTGAGAGCAGTCTTTCCTTCAAAGAAAGACACCTAATGGTCTCTCTCAGGAGTCTAACTATCATGGAACACTGGACACTATCTGCTAGCATCTGGCTGGAAGGAAAAAGACCTACCTGCATGGAGAGTTAAGGAAGAGGAAAGAACCATCAGGCTTCCTCATTTGCAAGTCACCCTGATGAAGAAACAGATTGTGGCTTTAATGCTTCTTAGACAAATTGTTTCTCTGCCAATTGAAGGTGACTTTTTTGAGGAGGGTGGGAGTTAAAGGATGTTTTGTTTTCCTGTAGACAGAGTTCAGGCTGTCTGGGGTCAGTCAGGGGTAAGATTACTTTTGTTCAAAGGAGAATGAAGGTATAGTTCAACTCCAGAGTTTGCTGTCATGACATTTTTATCCAGGAAGGGAAGTGTCTCGTTTTTCTCTTAAGAGTGACTGGCTCAGTGAGCCTACAGCTGAGACAGGCACATTCCTAGGGTTATTCTTGGAGGTAATCTTGTTTGGCTGATGTGGGCCTTTCCTAACCACATCAAGATGGTTGTGTGGTATATAACTAAGTACTGTTTATCCACAGGGCTGATATCAGTGGAACAGATGCAGCAAGTTGCAGCTGCAGAATTCCAACATCTTCCATCACCAGATAATAGAGATACAAGTAAAACAGGTTGGCCATAAATGTCAGCAGTCCACAGTGACCTGACTGCAGGATGTAAACCAGTCTTCCCCAACCTGACTAAGGGTGATTGGGGTTTGAAGTCAAAAGCATCTGAAAGGCAACAGGTTAGGGAAGGCTGAGCTAACCTTTAAAGTGAATGTGTGAGTGGCGGGTGGTGAGCTTCACTTAGAAGAGATATCACATGTGCTGCAGTAACTGTGTGGGAGAAGGGAGTCACCAGAAGGATAACCAGTGCTGGTAGCTAAATATCCAATCAAATACATGGAGCCTAAACACCCTTGCTTAGTTAAAGGATGCAGAAAGCTTGCAAGTCCACAACAGGTATCCGCTAAGGCTGCTGCCTTATTCTCTTATTTAGTCAAAAGGCTTTTTCAACCTAATTATTTTTTACCTTAAACTTTAGCAAAAGGAAATGGAAGATGGTAGCAACATCAAACTTTGTATTGAGCAACCCTGTAAGAATGGATGAACTTTCTGCTGAATATTGCAGGGGGGGGGAGACAGTCTGTTCTTCCTTTTTAAGTAACAAACTGGGTCTCATAAAAAAAGAAAACAACTGCAAATAGCTGTTATGGTCCATTTGCTGGGGGTTGGGGGAATTATAATTAGCAGCAATAGTATCAGTACTTTTAATGCAGAGATGGGATGTCTCTGGCCTTCCAGATGCTGTTGGACTCCAACTCCCATCAGCCGCAACCAGCATACCCAGAGGTCAGAGATGATGGGAACCGCAGTTCTAACAAAGCCTGGAAGGTCACAGGCTCCCCATCCCTTATTTAATAGGATCAACTGATAGTTATAAAGTAGTGATCTACCATTCAAGAACCATTCACGAAATAACAGAATAATTGTGCTGTCCAAGCGAAAAAGAGTACAGAAGAGGTAATTTAGCACTCCTATGTTTCCATATGCATATGAAGACAATGATAACCTACTGAATCAGGTAGGCCCATCTTGTCCAGCATCCTGTTCTCAGAATGGCCACCCAGATGCCTGGGGGAAACCTGCAAGAAGGACCTGAGTGCAAGAGCATTCTTCCCTCCTGCAGTTTCCAGCAACTGGTATTTAGAAGCATATCGCCTCAGCCGAGACAGCTATTGCAGAGGAAATGTAATTATCTGCCGAATCTGCTCATTAGGAGCCTGTTTTAAAGAGGCCAAGAGCTTTCCCTCTGTGCACTAAACTCTGACAAAGATGACTGCAAAAGCTTGTACAGGTTAATTCATTTAAAGTGTTGTATTCAGTGCTGCACAAGTGCAATGTTCTCCTTGTGCAATGGGACTTCTTCCTCTTCTCTGCCATTGCAACCTCAAAATCTCCTCTGGAGGGTCCCCTCGACCCTCAGGAGCAGATTCTGAGAGTCTTGGGGGGGGGATGCATAGGAGAGGAAAAGAGGAGAAAGTTCTGTGCAAGCAGAACAGCAGCATTTTATCCAACCCATAGTCTTTAAAGACTTCAACCTTCCAAATTATGTAAGTAAAATAAATTTTGCAAAACATGAACTACACCCAACTTTAGATTAAGTGCTTCAAACCAGATAGTTGCAATCTGATGTTCCCGTTTAAACTACTCCTCAAAGCATCTTAGGAACAAATTGTTTTATGGAATAAGATGTCATCTGAGTGAGTGATCAGACTTTTATTTTTTTACCATGCTATTTGCACAGTGTGTGTGTGTGTGTGTGTGTGTGTGTTTAATCATGTAGCCATGGTTGCCTATTAAATTAGGATATGCAAACACTTCACTACCACCCAGAGCATAAAAAAAATGCAGACATGTTCAAGTAAGCTACAACTTTCCAATTAAAAATGATTGACCTGTTCTCACATGAA